CTATTGCCTCTAATCTTTTGCAAAGGTCAAACACTCCACTACAATGTTATATAAGTAAAAGGGTTTCATAAACAATGAAAGCACTCTTTGTTTCTGAAACTAGACCATCTGCTCTTCTTCCTTAGGCGGCTGCTGGCGTAAAGGATGTAGATTGGATGGCTGTTGCTTGACAACTAAAGAAAAAAAATGGTTTAGTAAACATAACCAGGAAACAAGATAGGAAAGATGGAAAAATTATTTGTTGAGAGAGGACACTGATTCTAGGTGCCCATATACCTTAAACAAAGGCATAACAAATATCATAGTTTAAATAAATCTGCTTTTCTAAGCAATAATTGCCACCTAGCAGCAACTAGAGGTATTGCATCTGGGACAAGCCTGCAAATTTTGGAGGTACAGCGATGAAGGTCCTGTAAAATCACCTATGTGATGACGAAGGATGTCCCCCCATCAGACAATATTGTGGGCAAAAGGGGGTGATTATAAAAGGAAACATTAGCAACCATTCCTGGTTAAAAGTTCCAATCTTTCATCACTATAGAACCAGGTTTGTGTAGTTCTCTCCTAGGGAGAGTCCCTGCTTTGGAGAGAGAAACTTACTGGGAAGCCAGCAGGCAGCATTGGTCTCGGGAAGCATGATATGAAGGAATAGGTCATACTTTTAGCACAGAAAATATTGAACATATAAAGTAGACATACTAGTCCTAATCCATAACTCTTAAGAGATACACCTATCATCAGATACACCTATAAATTCTCATATAGTATTTTCTGGAGCCCACCACACACCCTCCTCCCCATTTGGGGATCTAGACTTCAGCTGCAAGGCAGGTGGGTCTCAGAGTTTTAGCCCCATGAGGCATGCTGGGGCTCAGTGCTTCAGCCCCACAGGGTGTGCCGGGGCTTGGGGGCTTCTGTCCTACAGGACACACTGGGGTTCGGGGCTTCTACCCTTCAGGAGGCACCTGAAAATATTTACCGGAGGTCTGCTCCAGACAGCTCTGGCTGAATATAAGCCCTGCTGTGACGAAGTGGGAATAAGAAAAGGAGTACTTGTGGCACCTTAGAGACTAACGAATTTATTTGAGCATGAGCTTTCGTGAGCTACAGCTCACTTCATCAGATGTTTACCGTGGAAACTGCAGCAGACTTTATATACACACAGAGAATATGAAACAATACCTCCTCCCACCCCCCTGTCCTGCTGGTAATAGCTTATCTAAAGTGATCAACAGGTGGGCCATTTCCAGCACAAATCCAGGTTTTCTCACCCTCCACCCCCCACACAAATTCACTCTCCTGCTGGTGCTAGCCCATCCAAAGTGACAACTCTTTGCATAATCAAGTCGGGCTATTTCCTGCATAGATCAAGGTTTTCTCACATCCCCCCCACCCCCATACACACACAAACTCACTCTCCTGCTGGTAATAGCTCATCTAAACTGACCACTCTCCAAGTTTAAATCCAAGTTAAACCAGAACATCTGGGGGGGGGGGTAGGAAAAACAAGAAGAAACAGGCTACCTTGCATAATGAAGTGGGAATGTTCTTAATGTTGTCTCTGAATACTGGGTGGGTGCCTCAATTTCCCCTAGGCATTTCTTAAGTATCTAGGTGGTGGGATAAGGGTGTGTGATTGTTGCAGAGCCCTAGAGCGCCAGTGTGTTGGTCTGTCTCCTAGCAACTGATGGCCTAGGCCCCTTCCCTGCAAGGTACGAGTTGAAGGTGTTGGAGAACAAAGAGATCAGGTGGCCTCCTGGCCCAGGGAAAGAGACAAAGGCCAGAGGAGGGCCAGGAGAGTTTCAGTTTGGAGCTGGCTGGGGAAACGAAAGGAGGCCCAGATGGGGCTTTGGCCTCCCTGCCCCCAAGACGGACCTGACTGAGGGGTCCTGTTCTCTGTACCTACAAGCTCTGTTTTAGACCATGTTCCTGTCATTTAATAAACCTTCTGTTTTATTGGCTGGCTGAGAGTCACATCTGACTGCAGAATTGGGGTGCAGGGCCCTGTGGCTTCCCCAGGAGCCCCGCCTGTGCAGACTCGCTATGGGAAGCGCACGGTGTGGAAGGGGATGCTGGTTGCTCTGAGGTCAACCCCAGGAAGGTCAAAGCTGTGTAAGCTTCTTGCCCTGGAGACAGCATGCTCACAAAGAGGAGGCATGCTCCCCCAGAGTCCTGACTGGCTTCGTATGGAGTAGTTCCAGAGCACTGCCCGGTGACTCCGTGACACCTGCCTATCATGTTAAAAGTCTGCATGGAAAGAAGGCCATGAGAAAGCCTTGGCATGACAAACAAGCAATATTTCAATTCATCAATAATTTCTCATAAAAAACATCCAAAATACTTTTTATAGTAAAGATGGACACTGTGCATCCGTCCATGGAGATGTATAATAGAGCATATTTTTAGCTTACCAGTAGAGGGCTTGGTGCAGCTGTAGGGGAGCAAACAAAGATCTGAACTGGCATCTCTAAAGGATCATAATGCTGAGGGCATGGAGGCTTTTGAGAGGGACATGGTGAGTTCAAAGATCCATGCTGTTCCTCTGAAACTCACCCCAAGCCCTGGATATGCAGTGTGTAAGGGTATAGGGGCTAAGATATTCCCCGTTACCTTCAATATTGTGCAAGAGCAATAGTGCTGTTGCACAAGAGTGTTGCCAACTCTTGTAATTTTATCATGTCTCATGATATTTGTTGTTTTTTTTTTAATTAATGGTCCAGCTCCTGGAGTAAAGTGATTATGTGAGATTCTCAGCTTCCATTTTTTAAAAAGTAGGTTTTTACCTCTGATGGTGACAGAGAAAAATCTGAAAACATGACCTGAGTGTACCCTAATGGCTCAGAAACCATAAGGCAATTAAAAAACAAAACAAAAAACAAACACTTACTAGATCTTAATGATTTTTAAATGTTTGAGAGTGGGGTGTGAATTCTGCAGTGGGAACCTGTTAAATATGAGTATGGAAAGTAAGCATTCGACATGAGAAATAAGAATAAATTCAGTCCAGACAGTGCTACTGTAAAAGCTTGTAACACCCTCTTCTGTTTCAGTATATATGAATAGTGCTGCAGAACTGCGTGTTCATTCTTGTATGCACACAATACATAAAAGCAGCATGACTGTTTGCATAATATGTACTCTGCACAATTACAAAATATTTATGAATTTCACAGCTGCCAGTCACACTTTTACTATAGTCTCACACAGGCCCTAAGTAAAGTGTAGAAAATGGATACACTTTCCCAGGCCCTAGGCCGGGGGTGGGCAAACTACGGCCTGTGGGCCGTGTTTGGTCTTTTTAATCTGGCCCTTGAGTCAGGGGCTTGCCCTGCTCCAGCGCTCCAGCCGGGGAGCAGGATCAGGGGCTTTCCATGCAGCTCCGTGAAGCGGCGGCATGTGCCCTCTCCGGCTCCTACATGTAGGGGCAGCCAGGGAGTCTGCATGCTGTCCCACCCCTCGCAACTTCCATTGGCTGGGAACCGCAGCCAACGGGAGCTGCAGGGGCGGCACCTGCAGATGGGGCAGTGCACAGAGCCACCTGGCTGGCACCGCTCCTCTGCGTAGGAGCATGCCGCTGCTTCCAGGAGCTGCTTGAGGTAAGTGCTGCCTTGAGCCTGCATCCCTGAGCCCCAACTCGTGCCCCAAGCCGGATCCCCCTCCTGCCCTCCAAACCCTTCGGTCCCAGCCTGGAGCACCCTCTGGTACCCCAAACCCTGCACCCCAAGACAGAGCCTCAACCACCCCTGCACCCCAGCCCTGATCCCCCTCCCACCCTCTAAACCCCTCGGTCCCAGCCCAGAGCACCCTCCTGCAACCCAAATCCCTCATCCCCATCCAGAGCCCTCTCCCCCAGCCGGAGCCCTCACCGCCCCCCCCCACACCCCAACCCCCAATTTCGTGAGCATTCATGACCCGCCATACAATTTCTATACCCAGATGTGTCCCTCAGGCCAAAAAGTTTGCCCACCCCTGCCCTAGCCTAAGGTAGGCACCGGCCAGAAGCCCATCAATGCAGCATCCGACGAAGTGAGCTGTAGCTCACGAAAGCTTATGCTCAAATAAATTTGTTAGTCTCTAAGGTGCCACAAGTACTCCTTTTCTTTTTGCGAATACAGACTAACATGGCTGCTACTCTGAAACCTGTCTTGATCAAAGTAATTTCTCACTGCTGATATTACTGAAGAATTAATGCAACTTCAAGATCAGTGTCCCATACTTCTGTTGGAAGCATGCCTTGTGAGAAAAGGTATGGGAATTTTGCCACCCTTATGGCAATAGAGAGGTAGGAAACTGAAACAATTTCATTATGAGACACCTGAGGAATCATGTTCTATCACCCCAGATGACTCTAAGCCTTTATTCAGAAGGAATGTGTTCTATGCCATTTTGGACCATGTTATCCGTGAGTTGAAGGGCTGCTACAAAGCAACTAATGACATTCGTTTTGTTTCCTTTGGTTCTAAGGTATGTCACGCCGGAGCCTGAGAAATTGAGAAGTAGACATTTGGATGCTGCTTTCCTGGGGATCTGAGAGGGAACGTCCCAGCGGAAATGGTGCACCCGGGAAAAAAAAAATCTTCAACTCTGCTTTTGGCAAAGAACATGAACTGCCTCTGCTACCGTTCAGAACAAAGCCGGCACCTCATTTTCAGTGACGCGTACACAGCCCCAGGCATTTTTTCACCCATTGCCCGTGTCTGGGTGAGAAGCCAAAGGAAGTTTCAGGGAGCTGGCCCGCCCCGGAGAGTGCGGCTCGCTGCGGCGGCCCAGCCACGCTTTACGCGGACGGCCCCTGGCTGGTTGACATGACATGACCTGGCAAGGCAGGCGGGTGGGTGGGTGGCAGCGGGGTCACGGGTGATTTTGCAACGAAAAGGGCTAGACCGGCGACGCGGCCTCCCACCGCCGCTTCCCACACACACGGGGCAGTGACGCTGTCTGCGCAGGCTCGCGGCCCAGTCACGGGTCGGCCCTGGCGCAGGCGCAGGCGCAGAGCACCTGCCCGCCCAGCGGAGAGAGCAGCGGGCTTCCGCCCAGGAGACGGCCCGCGCCTCACAGGCAGGCTTTGCTGACGTCTCTCACCCCTCCCCGGTCTGGCCCCCGGCTACGCAGTGCGCACGCGCGGTCCGCGTAAGCCGCTGAGCGTTCCGGCTCCGCAGGGCCTCGGCTGGAGCAGGAGGCAGAGCCCCATCCGCCCTTCGATCGATGAATCTGGGAGCGGCTACTCTTCTCTGGGGAGAGGGCGGAAGTTCTAGTCTCTCAGCCCAGACTGATCGCTCGCGGAGCAGCTCGCCGGTCAGGAGCTCGCGCCGGAGTTGGGGGAAGGAAGATGGTGAGGAAGGGGTCGCTAGGGCGGGGCCGGGGCCGGGGCCGGGGAGCGGGCAGCCGTCAAGCCCTGGACCGCTGCCGATCCCGGGCCGACCCGGTGGCGGGATGTGGGAGGGGCCATGAGTCAGCGCTTCCCATGTGCGGCCGGGCCAGGCCGAGGGGGATGTCCGCGCGCCGCTCCGGCAACCGGCGAGGACAGCCTGGCTCGGCTTCGCTCTTAGCGGGTCCTGCGGCTTCCTCCGCCCGGCCCGAGCCCAGCGAAACCCGCCCCCGCCCTTCACAGAGCAACCGACACTCCCCCCCCCCCCCCCCCCCGAGCTCCCTCCGTTCAGAGACCGGCCTGCCCCACCATAGAGCATCCGCCTCCCTTCGGAGACCATCCCCCAGAGAGACTGACTCCCCGAGCAGCCCCCTTCCCTGCAGTCTGACCTCCCGCTTCACATAAATCTTCTCCTGTCCACAGCAACCCTTCCTCCATTCAGAGACAGACAGACCCCCCCCGCCCAACACACACCCAGACACAGGTCTGCCCCAGTCTCCTATAACCCTCCCATGTTCTCAGCCCACACAAGCCGAATCTGTTTCCCCATCTGAGTCCATTCCCCATGAGCCAAGTTTAATTATAATAGCTTTCAATTTCTAATTCCGAAAAGACAAGTGGAATAACAGATAACATAAAATCAAACCCTGTATACTTTAGATATGCTTTACTGTGCAATAAGAGAGAATATTTTACAAGTCACTATATATAAACAGAAAAAATACAAGTGCAAATATTTGGGCCTAACATTATGTACATGTATTATGTTATGTGCTAGTGGTGTGAGTTATTATGTAAATCCAAGCGTTTATGATGTTTTATGCCATGTTAATAGTAGCGTTTTGCTGTCATTTCAGGTTAATCCCCGTAGTAGCTGTGTACAAGAAGCCATTATAAGGAAATTACATACCTGTAGCTGTTGTATAATTTTCTTATAATTGTTTGAAATGCAAACAAACTCTTTATTTCAGTGCATTTTGAAATCATTAGTTAACTAACTTCCTGTAAGGAGAAACAAACACTTATTTTTCAGTAGAACAAAAATCAGAGCACAGAAAATGAAACAATTGCAGAGTTTTGAGCCATGAATGATTCAACAAGGTACCTGAGCATGTGCTTAACTAAGCATGTTTGTAGCCCCATTACTTACTTAAAGTTACAAATGCTTAAGTACCCTGCTGAACTGGGGCTTTAAAGTTTAGGAACAATGAACTGTTGGGTTAATGGGTCCATGTGCCTGCATTAAACAGTAATCCTTTGATTTTGCTGAGACTATCCACAGGCCCAGGATTCTGTGTGTAGGGTGCTTATTTCAGGAAAGGGGCCTAAAGTTTTAATGTTTACATGGCAAGCTAGCATTGCCAATCAGCTTAATCACAGTTGGCTTTAGAAACTTACAATTCATTAGGCAGTATCTTTTAATTGACCCATCAAGAATGAAGTAGAAAACTGCCACTGTGTAAGACACATTTGTATTTTACAAATCATCTTGTATAGCAATGGAATCCTATGCTATAGTCTCTTATAGCATAGATGACAGGAATAGCTGTAGTTCAGTCAGAGAGTATAGTCTATTTTTGGGACTACAGCATCTCTATTCACCAAAAATAAGGTGTGGACAGAACTGGAACAGAACAATTGAGCTGGGGGATTTTGAAAGGCCATATGTGGAACAGTAGTGGGAGGACTGAATTGCTCTAGTTTCAACTGTTTTAGTGCTCTTCATGCTAGCACTAAACCAATGCAGGCTGAAATATAAATCAATATTTACCCCCTGGAAAAAGAAAGTCTAATCCAGAATGTATAAGTCACATTGTAAATCATTTGTAACATCTTTGTGAGTGGATCGACTGTGTTTTACAAGTGTACAGAGGACCTACAAAGTTCATAGCACAATAAATTTATGGAATATAGATAAGACCTTGGTGTCAAGATAAATGTGAAGCCCTTCTTCCTTTAGATGCGTAGAAAAGAGTATTTTCTGTTACCCCACATCTCCCTGTTCCTTGCCACTTGTCTGTAGCTAGGGTGAGTGAGGACTCCACTTACCTACCCCAGCCTCCTGTTGCTGCCCTAAGGTTGTGTCTGCTGCTTCAACTTCTGCAACATTCTGATAGGTGGGAAGTGAAGGGGGACACCTTCTACTCAACCCTCCCCCCAAGCTCTATGTAAACATTTCTCCTCACCACAGTTAAAAGCTCCAGGGCCTATCCTGGATACTAGTTTTTTTCAAGCAACAGCAGAATGAAATTGACCTGATTCGTGACAGGTTCACAATTGTCCGCTGTGTAATGAATACTAGCAGTGAAGACTAAACAATTTTCTTTTTGCTGCAGCTCGGCATTCCTCACCAGTAACATGGCTCCTAAGAGAGCTTTGGTATCATTGATTGGCTGCCCATGCTTGAACACTCTGGCTTCCCACCCAAAAAATATGTAGACAATTTAGAATTGGTGTTAGTTAATGCAGACAGGATTATCGTTAACCCATGCAGGAAATTAATAGGAATTTCTGCATGTTTCTCAGGGGATTATAGTGCAGTGAAGCTTTCCACTGCCCCCAAACTAGCTATATCAAGATTGCTGCTCAGATGCAGACCCATCAGTGTGTAAACAGGCTGGTGATGGCTTTTGGATTAAATATCTTTAAAAAGCATTTGTCTCATAATTTCTTGTTGCCAAGGTACTGTAGTTAGGTTTTAGGTTCACAATGCAAGTCAAATGTATACTATGTAATCTTATGCTGAAAATGTTTTGCGGTGTCATTTCGTGTTAAAGTAATTCAGAGCACAGTAAGTATTATGCTGATACAGTAATGTTGTGTTTACTAAATAATGATGGTAAATGTGCAGAAAAATATATTGTCAAGCTCTTGTTTCAGACTGGAGAAATTGTGTATGTTGGATTAAGCAAAGAAAATTAATATAATTGAAAGCTCAAAGGCTTTCTTTTCCCAGTTTCGTATTATTTTCATACTAATGAATTGGTTTTGTTCACAGTTTCGCAACCAGTATGACAATGATGTCACTGTCTGGAGCCCTCAGGTAAAAGAATATAATCATGTTACTTGCTTTCCATTTTCCCTTTTCTCACTATTATGGTAGTGGCATGAAGGCAGTGGATGTCCTGTTCTCGTAGCTCAAAGAGTATAGTGCTGCGGGTGCTGCTCCATAAAGCAACTTTTGGATGTTTTAAAGCACTGTATGAATAATGTTGTGTCTTAACACACCAGGGAACTGTTAAATATGCAGTTTTGAGGATGAATTTTGATTTTTGTTTTTATAATTGGACTTTACAATAATTTTATTAACCAGCATTTTGCTTGTGTACAGAAGATATATTACTATTTACTAGATATGTTCTGCAGGAGTATGTTTAGTTCATTTTAAACCCTAATGTTGGAGTATTGCTGAGAGGCAGTTATCCAACACTTCAGATTGCTTTTGTAATGTGAAATGTACAAACATTCAGTTATATAATCAGTGTACACAAGCAACTTCATCAATTAATATCAGGGTGGATTTGATTTAAATCAAATTTAAATCAAATTGATTTAAATCACTAGTCAGGAAGACTCTATTTAATCTTGGATTTCTACATAAAAGTGCATTCTGGAATATGTTGCTCAAACAGTTTCACTTTTGTTTCTACTGCCTGTCCCTCCCTTCTCACATTTATCTCCAGACTTCTTCTCCTTGTCCAGATCTATTCTGTCCCCAACAATATTCTGTTCGTTGCACTTTTAGAGAGAGGTAAGGGACTGACTCTGTGTACACAAATTTGTGGAGGGACAATAGGGTTGAGGTCTGTTATTTCTCACCTCCTATATTTATTTATTTTAAAACATTTCTGCTGTTAACAAGCATGTTATCTTTGGAGACACAAATCTACAGTTTGAGAACTGCAAAACTAAGCATCTTTGATGGTATCTTTTTGACCGGGGTGGGCAAACTTTTTGGCCTGAGGGCCACATCGGGTTTCTGAAATTGTATGGAGGGCCGGTTAGGGGAGGCTGTGCCTCCCCAAACAGTCAGGCATGACCCGGCCCCCTATCCGACCCCCCCCCCCAACCTCCTGCTTCTTGCCCCCTGAAGGGACCCCTGCCCCATCCACCCCTCCCTGTCCCCTGACCACCCCTGGACCCTCTGCGCCTGACTGCCCCCCGCCACCCCTTCGACCCCTCCTCTCATTCCTGACCCCCTCTCCCCCCCAGCTGTCCATCCACCCCTCCCTATTCCCTGACTGCCCCCGGACTCCACCCCCACCTCTGACTGCCCTCCGCCCCCCCATCCAACCCCTCCTCTCATTCCTGATTGCCCCCCCAGGACCCCTGGGTCATCCAACCACCCCTGCTCCCTGACCATCCCTGGAACCCCTGCCCCTGACTGGCTCTCACCGCCCCATCCAACCCCCCCCCCCCTTCTTCCTGACTGCCCCCTGGGATCTCTGGCCCCATTCAACCCCCCTGTTCCCCGCCCTCTTACCGCCCCGACCCCTATCCACCCCCCTGACCACCACCCCGAACTCCCCTGCCCTCTGTCCAATCCCCCCTGTTCCCTACCCCCTTACCGTGCTGCTTGGAGCACCGGTGGTTGGTGGGGCTGCAGCCACGCTGCCCAGAGCACTAGGACAGACAGCCGAGCCAGCCATGCCACTGTGCAGCAAGAGCTCGCAGCTCTGTCACTCAGAGCATTGCGCTGACTGTGCAGTGAGCTCAGGCTGTGGGGGAGGGGCTGGGAACTCAGGGGCTGGGCCGGGAGCTCAGGAGCAGGGCAGGAAGGTCCCACGGGCCGGATGTGGCCCGCTGGCCGTAGTTTTCCCGCCTACGTTCTAGACTAAGCACTGAGTCTCATGGGGGTAGATGGATTATTTAGGTTAATCTTCCTATACAGAAGCCCCTGGAACCCCATAAGATTGGGTCGCTAATCCATGAACTATTGGAACTCATTTACAAAACTTTTTTCTTAAACATTACATAAATATATTGTCTCATACTATAGAATTAGAATTTATAATCCCTATTCCATGATGAGATATCTTTGAGCTATAATGTATCTTAATTAAAACTATCTTTAGATTGGGTTTTTCCTCAAAATCATTTTATCAAAAAAATCTGATTTAAATTTAAAAAATCTGATTAAAAAAATCATTGATTTTTAACCACCCTGATTAATATATCGAATGAGATATTTACAAACATAAAATGGAGAGTGGGAAAATGCAAAGAATTGAAGAGTTGAATTACAAAAGGACAAGATGTCTCTGTGATGCACTACCATTCTGTAGTTACAGTGCCTTGTCAATTTTCTATGTATTTACTTGGTATCTGCTGTAATATAAAATATGTAATTATGGAGGCCTCACAATGGCTCCAAGTTAAGGCTGCATAGAGATTTACATGTAGCAGGAATTAAACCATTTGATATGAATAATGTACCTTTTCAAAACTTAGAGGTTAGTGTTTGAGTGCAGAATGAATCTTCTGAAAACTAACAAGCAAACCTCTTAATTGCGTAATTTTTAGTGAGTCCAATCTTTTTCTGATACTTGTAGCAAATTACAGAAATTTTGAGATCTGAAAACTGACTCACTTCTAGATTTTAGCAAAATCAGAGATGTAAGCTATTTTTAAAGTTTATTAATGTTAGTGTAAACTGTAAAAATTACTGTTTCTGCATGGCAATTATTATTAGTGAAGATTTTAATCAAATACAAATTCCGGAAAATAAAATTTCAACTAATAATGTTTTCTAGCCTCTCGTGAAAATAACCTTGAAAACTTGAGCATAAAGCAATGCAGTGTTGTCTGTTTTACTTTTTATTGGGTTTTCAAGTTTATTTCAAAATCGTGAGGCTTAGATTTGCCTTCACAGATCTTTACTGTGAGATCATGTGCCCTGTTATGAGTGACAGATCTCATTTCAAAGCAGCTAACCAGTTGGGCAGTGTGTTTGGTAGTGTCAAGAAGCCAGATTGCCACAGTTACAATCTTACAAGTTTGCCCTCGGGCCTTCCCTATTCTGTAGTATTGACTGCAGACTGGTACGTCTGGTACAATTTTCAAACTATGGTGTTGAGATCCTTGAATGAAAGGTATTATGTTACTGCACTGTGTCTTCTGTAAGGTTGCCCATCACCATAGTATGTGAGTGCTATACTCCTATGTTTGCCAAAGGCCTACCCAATTCCTATCTTGCCTGTCTGATATAAAACCCTGGTGTTGTGTTGTAACTTAACTATCCACAGAAGAAATCTTAAACTTGATATGCCCTTATGTTTATGCCACATATACTAAGCCATATGAAAACTGCAGCAAACATGGTTTGAAGCTGCATGTGAAATGCTGAAGCATGCGGGATTTAATATGCCCCCAGGCACCAGTGTTCTAGGATGAACAGCCAAGTAATTGCTCTTAATCAGATATGGTACTTGTTAGTGATATACAAACATTATATGGGGTGAGATATAAGTGCAGAGTTCACATTCTAGGTACCAGAATTCTGCATTTTAGTTCTTTCCAACTTTTTCATCTGTGTGACTTTAACTTTGAATTTCCTGGTATACATCTGTTTTATTTTTAAAACTGTAATGTTCCTTAAGATATTCGTTACTGGTGCCTAATTACTGCCTTAACTACTGCTCAGTTTTATTTTTTATCTGATATTGTTTATACTTTGTTGTACCTTGATACTATGACAAAAATGTGTTTTAAAAAGGACAATTAAAATAGCTATTCTCCACAGGTAGAAATTACTTCTCCACAAACTCTTGTTTTTTAAAAAATAAACAAATAAAAATTAGTAGGTGGACTTAAGGCAGTGGTGCAGCAGATGCAGTAGTGTGACACCATAATATTATTTTTTGGATCTGTTGCTGTTTATAGTACCATAAAGGAGTAATCAGGCCTTAATGGTGCATGCTGTCAATCTTTCTATTAGAGTCAAGAATATACATTTCAAAGATTGGAAAGGATTTTGACACATGACTTGTGATCTTCTGTGTCAACCATGCAGTTGTTAGTCAATAAATAGATGTATATGGGACAGCCCATAATGGTTTCAAAGTACTCTGTGACAGGAAATGTCTTATCCCCTATTACTGAAATTCCTTCTTGTCTCAGTGGAAAATAAGAGTGTTTTAGATATTTCTGGTAGATCTTTCACTGTTGTGATAAATGTAAAACCAACAAACTCACAAATCAGTTAAAGGTCTGATTTCAGTTGAGACTGAAAACTCTGTTCTTAATTAATCTTGAGTGAAATCTTGGCCCACTTAAGTCCATGGCAAAATTCTCATTTACTTTAATAGGGCCAGGATTTCACCCTTTGTGTGTAGTTATTGCAGAGTCTCTACTTTTCTTATATGGAGAATCAATTTTAGAGTTGTTAATTTACTTCATTCTGTAGGGCCGAATTCATCAAATAGAATATGCTATGGAAGCTGTCAAGCAAGGCTCAGCTACGGTGGGGCTGAAGTCAAAAACCCATGCTGTTCTGGTTGCTCTAAAGGTAAATTTAAGAAAAAACATTGGAATTACTTTTTTCTTCTTGCAAGCGCAAACATGGTAAATCCAAGGCTTTTATCATTGTTCAATTAAAATGTCAGATAAGGGGAGGTAAATTTCTGGTTTGGGGCAGGTGAATTTTATAACTCTTTTTCACATTAGAAAGTAAGATTTACATATTTTCATATGTTTTAGCACTGGTGTAGAACTACTAATATTTTGATTAATCTGTGATAAAATGGGTCTTAATCCTGTGGTAGAAATGGAAGAAATTGATGAAATTGTCGAGTTATAAAGCCAAATATATATTGGTTCAACTGACCCTCCCAAATAAAGAGGAAATAAATACATATAAAATATTTACAATCCGCTTTTTTTTTCTTCAGTACATTTCTTATTGGGGTGGGATCAGCCCTTTATGTCTTATGTCTATTGCAAGGTTACAGATTTGGGGCTGTAAGTGTTCAGTCCTTACTGATAGTTGCTCACAATTTTTTTTAAGCATTGTCCCTATTGACTGACACATTGTTTAAAGTGTGCTGCAATAATTTGTATGACTAATATGGTTTTTTTGTGTATAGAGAGCACAGTCTGAATTGGCAGCTCATCAGAAAAAAATCCTGTATGTTGACAACCATATTGGCATCTCAATTGCTGGGCTTACTGCTGATGCAAGACTGTTGTGGTGAGTTCCTTATCCCAGGTCTACACTGGGGGTGGGGGATCGATCTAAGTTATGCAGCTTCAGCTACGTGAATAATGTAGCTGAAGTCAATGTACTTAGATCTACTTACCGTGGTATCTTCACTGCGGTAAGTTGATGGCTGACGCCCCTTCCGTCAATTCCGCCTGCGCCTCTTGCCCTGGTGGAGTATCGGAGTCGACGGGAAGGCAGTTGCTTTATTGCGTCTAGACTAGATGCGATAAATCGACCCCCGCTGGATCGATCGCTGCCTGTCGATCCAGCAGGTAATGTGGACGAGCCCTTAGTGACTAATGTGTACAGTATTCTAGTAACAATGAAGTAAAAAAACCAGACTTCTCATACTGTCATTTAATGGGGCCAGCTAAGAGAACTTGCCTGTGGTTACTGGTCTTGCGCTAATATGCAAGAGACCAGGGGTGAAATCCTTGTCCTATTAAAGTAAATGTCAGAATTCCCATGGGTTTCAGTCGGGCCAGGGTTTAATTGCTCGGCTTTATTCCCTGTCCAATGTCTTGCTTCCCCAAGCTGGTTGAGACTGAGCAGTCTCAGAAGTGTACATCACACATTGGCTACTAACAATTCCTTCAGCTAGTGATGTAGATCAACTCTAGAAAGGTATTCTTTTGAACTCTCAGCTGGCTGTGTGGTTCTGGCAAACGAGATAAATATAAAATGAGCAAGAAGGATTCCTTGGTTGGGTAGAAAGGGACAGAAAAGGTATACAAAGAGCCACTTACATATTCATTGCAATAACATTCCAAAGGAGTATTTCCTATTCTTTTTTCATTTTCATCCAAATAACCCCTCTTCACTGCATATTCTATAAACATCTGTTCTACCTTCATTCATAGTGTTTCATCTGTACAATATTCTTTCAGGCATGTGGTCTTCTATACAATGATGGCTCATAAAATGTAATTTTATAGTGGCATTTTTGGTCTTCATAGGCAATGCTGAAACCGTAATAAAAATACACACACACAAGCTTAAAGAGGAAAATGTCAAGTTGGAGGAGCTTCCTTCTGTTTGTGATCCATATATTTTTATTTTCTCTTCTTATAGTAATTTCATGCGTCAGGAGTGTCTGGATTCTAGATTTGTGTTTGACAGACCTCTCCCAGTGTCCCGTCTAGTGTCTCTAATTGGAAGCAGTATCCTTTTTATGTTTTAGATATATATTTATATATATACTGTATTTGACATGTAATGACTCCATGCTTTTCTTAAAATTCAGTTCAGTTTTCACTTTGTTGATGTGTTTAGAACTCTTTTATACCAAAATATTTATTTTGTTTTATTTCAAGCAAAGATTACCTTGAAAGTTACAGGAAATAGATGCAAGGATCTTGTTTGTTCTTTGGGAGGACATCCTTTCCTCATCCATGGAATTAGTAGACAAGGCAATGAAGTGCCGTGCAGGAGACCTACTGTAGAACTGGAAACAATTTTTTGAATACTTGTTTTCTGGATCACTTAAAAAGCCCCAGATAATGTCACTTTCTGATGGAAAGAGCACATTTAATGTTACTGCCTCATTCCTTACTTACATGCCTTAATTGCCTGTCTCTGGAACACACTAAGCATTTCGTACATCCATTGTACCTGATAAAAGCAAGTGCATCAAAGGGAACAGGGATGAAATTGACCAGACTAACATAAAATCAGTCACTCATATTACTTTCCTGAATATTCCAGTCACTTTGTTTGGGGAAACTAATTGCTGTAGGTCTGACTGGAGGTGAAGAAGACCTTACCATTGGTGCTCAAGACAGATGATGAGATCTGTTTCTCTGGAACAAGTTTTTTCACCACAGGAAATGGCTAACAAACCATATAGCAGTTCTGATGGAGTTTTACTTGGATTAAGAATAACATTTAAAAGGTATTAACTTCTTCTTTGTGAAGAGTCCTTAGCTTGTTTAAGAAACCCAGATACCAACACAGCGATATGGCAGAAGACCATATGGTGTAGGACTGCTCATTGCAGGTTATGATGTAAGTACACTGTGTGTGTGTGTGTGTGTGTTTCCGTTTCAATTTATCCAAAAGAAAAATGCAGCCAGTACAATATTTCACTTTTATAGCAACTAACATTTTGTTGAGAGGGAGGCTGACTATAGCAGTACTTATCAATAATCATCTTGCTAGAGGAACCTCTCTTTTTCTAGACCCTGAAACTTAATTCTCATAAATGTTAAATGAAGGTAATTTTTCTGCAGGTCCCTGGAGTGGGTATTGATGCATATATGTATACATATACACACCTAAACCCATGTGGCTTAGAATTTAGAAAATGGCTAATGATTTTGGGGCCCAAAATGAGACACTTAAAGGGGACTTGACCTTCAGAGGGTGGGTGTTAACCACTTCTGAAAATCAGGGCCCCTTTAAGGTGTTTCGAATTGGTTATCCAGTTTGTTCTGTATAGTACAGACAAGTCACTGTTCTGATGATCTTACAAACTAAGCAAGTTGAAGGTAGTGGGCAGCCTGATTGAATCTTGCATGCCAGGGTTCAGCCCTGAACAGGTTTGTACATTTGTACACGTGGGAAGCACTGAGAAATATATTCAATAGGTCATAAAATGGGAGCTATTCATAATATAAGATCAGTACAATTTATAGGATTTTACAGAGAAACAGGGTTTTCAGTGCCATCCATTGAACTTACATAAAAACGTCTGATTAAAAGACATAGTGAAAAGGGGAAATTTAGAAAATTGAGGCTTGAAGCAACTATGTAATAACTGCGATGTGAAGCACAGTATAAAAACATACCTTCATGCATATATGACACAAACATCATGTAACAGAGTTAGTGCTAAAAAATATTTTAGAAAACTGCATGCCTTCCTGTGAACAGTTTATAAAATTCACACCTTTTTTGCCAGGATATGGGTCCTCACATCTTCCAAACTTGTCCTTCTGCAAACTATTTTGACTGCAGAGCTATGTCCATTGGTGCTCGTTCACAGTCCGCCCGAACTTATTTGGAGAGACACATGGATGAGTTTGTTGACTGTGAGTGATGAGACTCTTCTGTTATATTTTCTAATGATCTTTAAATATATGCTTGTTTTATTTATATCACATCTTATCTGGTAATATTTATTTACTTCTGTGCAGAAGGCAAAGATATAAGAGTTGAATAGAAATAACCAATGTAAATCAGGAGGAAGAAAGAAACGAGATTCAAAACACTGCAGGTTTTCACGTCTAACTTATTTCAGTTGTTTAGCAGGCCAAATGGAGGAAAAGTGTCTGCCTGGAGAACCTGAGAGAGAGTTAAACAGGAAGAATGAATTTTGTTTTTAGAGAAAGTGATGTTCCTTCCATTTCAGAGAGAGGATAGTATTTCAAGATATGCATGTTATTTGTCTGCACAATATTTAATCTGTAAATAAGAAGTGGATTTTAAATCCCAAATTAATTTTATTTTTAATAATTATCAGAGGTAACTGAAGAGCTGTGGGGGAGTAAAGCAGCTCAGGTATCATGGCCCAGAGACCATATAAGTACCTAGATGGATTTATTTGCCATTAGCTTAGAGTGTAATACTACTTTTGTGATTTAATTGTCTTGAATGCAGGGAAGGATTGGTTCCTTATGGGCATACTTGGATTTCCAGTTACCTATCAAAGAAGCAACATGAGTAAAGCAGTTTCGGGACGGAGCTAGCCAGACTATTTTTCCAGCTAGGAATGGAAGGTGGGGGAGGGAAGGGTCTCAGGAAACAATATTGTACAGTTAACTGTTTTTCTGATGACAATGTATTGTTTGTAGGTAACCTGAATGAGCTAGTTAAACATGGTCTGCGGGCTCTCAGAGAGACCCTTCCTGCAGAACAGGATCTGACTACCAAGGTAAACACCAGGATCTTCCTCCTTACTAGAAATTACCGAGACACAGTTGATGTTAAGTATGGGTGTGTATTGTAATCCTCCTTTTAAGTGTGGGAGTCAAATATTAGTATTTAGGTACAATATATTTAAGTGTGAGTCTAATTCCATATACTATCAGTGTACTATCAGTTCTGAGTCTTAATCTTATCGATTACAGTGTAACTTTCTGAACTTTTGGTGTTTGACTTTAACAGAATAATGTTATGGCTAAATAGAAGACTGTTTCCCTTGTTAGTGAAGTCTCATAAATTTCTGTGTAAAATAGCTCTTCTTTATTTTATTAACTTTTTTGATGATTATTTAAGATTTGTTGAACATAGCAAAATTAGTTACAGCATAGAGTAACTCAGCTTCATTCTTAAATGTTCATTTACTTTTAACTGGAATCTGCTGTTGGTTTCTTCGAGATAAAGTATTTACCTTCATGTTTGTGGGTTTTTGAAATACACTGTACTGTTCCCCCTAGAAACAATATAAAGGGGGCTGGAGCACTGAGTCTTATCTCATGATTTCTGACCCTGAGACCTTGTCCTTTGGTTTATAAGATAGTTTTTTTTTTTTAAAGTGACCTTAATATAAGTGTTTAAAAAAAACTGGTTCAGATGAAAAATTCTCATTGACAGTATTTTATGAGCCCCATAGAAAAATTTTAAGATACTAAAATTTCCCTTATACTGAAAAAACATATAAAACCTATTTTAATTCTACTGTGTAATTTCTTTATCCCCTTTCTGGCTACTAGCCCCCATTCAAAACTATTTGTTTGGCCTAGCCTAGTCTTGCACATTCTGGAGCTGCTGCAGAGCTCCTTGAGCATAATATGAAGCAAATTGTGCTTCCAACACTTTCACATGCCAAGCTCAGTGGAATCCCAGATGGTTATGTTGGTCATCTTTCTTTGTGTTCGATGTGCTTTTTCTTATTAACACTTTTTGAGTTTCACATACTTAATACCTGGAGTTACATCTTAAAATTTCTAAAGTAGTAATGAAATGTGTTTGTTCATTCATGCCTACGTCCAAGTATTCATTAAATATTTTACATATCTAGCAATATTATTATTCAGGTACAGTACAAGGCTACTGATAAAAGGCATATGGCCGGTGGGATGCACAGGGATGCAGACACGATTTGTGTTGGTTATCGTTGTGCCTCATATGGAGGACTTAAAGAAAAGTCTTTATGGATTATTAAATAAGTAAACCTACACATGTGAATAACAAACCATGAACACACAACAAACATTTTACAAAGTCTTAAACTTCTCGGCCAATTTCCACACCTGTTGTTATTACCTCTACCAAAAAGCCATACCTTGTAACTCCGTTTCCATATCACATTAAGTTCTTCAGTTTGATCATTCATTTTACACAGTTCTGCCATGTTAATTTACCGTTCTTTTAAGTGTCATGCCACTTTCTAAGGACCCATCTCTTTGCAGAACTTAGGACAATTTTAGTCCATTCCATAAGAGGCTTTGTAGTTCCATGTACTGATAAAAATGATGATATAATTCTGGCTTGGCAGGTAATATGATTCCACAGTATTTCTATAACTTAACACCTGACCGGAAATATCTGATATTAGAGCAATGCCAAATAAAATGTGAAATAACTATACTTAGTTCCACACTGACATCATTTATTAAATCAGATGTGCAGAAGTCCAGTAAATTCTATGCATAATTTAAAATTGTTACTAATTTTAGCCTTACTAGCAATCTTATAATATAGTCCAATATGTTTTTACTATTATTTTCTTAAAGTATATGTTTAGATCACATTCCCATATCCTTTGAGAAACTCAAGTGCACGCATAGGATAAGAGACAATGAGAGAAGGCTGCAACTTTTAATATATAAAGATTTATGGAAGATGACTGATACTCTGGGTAATCAGATAAATAACGTGAAATTCCATTAATTTTAATTGAAATGAAATCTAGTTTGTTTAATGCATTGGGATTACTCTGGATTTACACTGGCATTGCTAACATCAGAATCTGGCCCTAGGTCTGTTTGATTATCTTAAAGTTTATGTTAAGATAAGTTTTGCATTTTGTTTTTGGTGTCAGGAAACTTAATACAGTAATGTTTTCCTGAGGTATTCTTTGGGGTTGAACCAAAATCCATTGAATTCCAAAAGGAAGAGTCATGCACATTAGTGGGTTTTGAGTCAGGGTTAATAAAAGCTTTTCATCTTAGACAGTTTTGTTTGTTTAAAATATTTACTCTAAATACATGCTGAAACCAGTCTTTTTAAAAAATCATATGGTATGTTTGTTTATAAATGCTGAAACAACCAAAAAACGAAGGGAGCTGAACCTGTTGTCTGAAATAATCAAACTGCTTTTTTGGCTTATACGTTTTGGAACATGATAGTATCCTTGTAGAGAGTGAGCCTCGCTCACTTTCTTTTTTCTAAGGAAGCCTGCCATAAAGTAAATCTGATACAGAATTTCCTTCCTTAATTTGATTCACTATGCCAAATGTATCTTAATCTTAGAAGGAAGCTGTAGTTGATATATTTCCCAAGTAAAAGCTGCATAAAGTTAGAGATTCGCAAGAGACAGTTTCTCAGTTCTTTTAACATTGTACTTAACAGAATGTTTCCATTGGAATTGTTGGCAAAGAAATGGAGTTTACTATCTATGATGATGATGATGTGGCGCCATTCCTGGAGGGACTTGAAGAAAGACCACAGAGGAAGGTATGTGACTTAGTTAGTTATCTTTAAAATAGTTTGAGTTGCTTCCTGTTTGAGGTGGTATCTATAATCCTCTGCTATAAGACTGAAGATGAAGGCCAAGAAGTCTATTTAACCAGACTAGTCTGAATTAGCAGAGAGCTCTCTCAAGTTGTTTCCATCTTCTCACCTTGTCTGTGCCTGGCTACTGCTGTCAGAACTCCCACTCATATATCTGCAACAAAAATGGATATCTCAGCTTCTGAAACCCATCCCCTTATGTAATTCCCTCCTAATCCCAGTCTCGGTATTAGCCGTCTACTCATTACCTCTTGAGGAAACTAACGTAACTCTTCTCCTCCATTCATACCTTAATTAATCCTGCTAGCTCTAGATTAAATCTCTTGTATCTAGATGGAGGAGTAGGGAGGTGATCAGAAGCTGAGGCTGCATGTTTTTTGTAGGTATGTGAATGGGAATTCTTAGTGCAGAGTTTTGCATAATCAGTGTAGGGTTAAAAGGATTTGTGTAAAAGCCTGTTCTTTGATTGTTTTATAATGACCCTTGGTTAGAGTACCTGGATTTGCATAATTGACAGATGCACAGCAACTACTCTGATGGCTGAAACTCTTCTGTTTCAAAAAATGTATTTTTGCATGAAACTTCTTAAATCCTTAGTCCATTATTTGGACAGTGGGAGGTAATGGAGGCTTGATAGAAGCTGAAGAATCACTTGTAACTTGCATAAAATAGAGCAGATTGCTTCTACCCTGTTGGTAAAGTGCTTTGAACATGTCAAGCTCTATGCAAGTGTAAAATACTATTACCCTGACCTTTTAACTCAAAGATGTAGCTTACAGATAGTGTAAGTCCCAACAAGCAGTTCTGCCATGCCTCTGATGAAGGTGGAGTATTATATTCCTGTGCAAAGCTGTCTCTTTCCTGTTTGACTTCTGCCCTTTTATAGTAAAAAATAAAAAAATAAATAAAATAAATACATTTTTTGTATTCCTCTCCTTAAGCTTGCTCCACCTGCTGAGGAACCTGCAGAAAAGGCAGAAGAACCAATGGAACACTAATATTTGTGGATAAGCTCATGTGTTAACCTATATATAACAATATAGGAATGTTCCTCCAGTAATCTTTACCCTGAACCAAATGCATATTATAGTAATTAGGGGAATTAGTCTTAGAGTATTTTCAAATATCCCTAAACTGGCATCAAAGTTGTCATACCTTTCCTTTCAGAGAAAAGGTATAATCTTTTTTTTTTTTTTTTTAAGTACCAAAATACAATCTGTTTTGTATGAAGAGCATATTGTCTTGCAAGGACATCTGGAATAAATTTTTCTTTCTTGAAACTTGCTGTATTGATTTGTTTTAAATCTGTTACACAGAAGAATAATTGGTCAAATTCCTTGCATTATCTTTTCATATATATTTTCAAGGCACACACCAGAGTGGTGTCTAGGTACCAATAGATATTTGACCATGTGTTATATTAGCTACTAAAATAGTAGCTGATCAGTGGGCTTCATTACTTTTTTAAAATGAATTTAGTGCTTTTGAAAGGTGCTGAATTGACAAATGGAAAATTAAGGTCTGTTTATCTTCAGAACAGATCCAGAAGCATAAGCTTCTCTGCATCTTATCAATGTCTCATCCTTTACCTGGAAGTCTAGTAATGAGGGTTGTTCACTTCTCTGTGCTGTCAGTTCTTGGCATTTCTGGTGAGGCCTCCGTTCGATGATCTCAGCTTTTATTGATGGTGGTTTAATGATGCTGGATCCCTGCTCATTTAGAAATGAACTGAGTCAATAAATTCATTTCACAAGAGCCACTAAAAATCATCAGGTCGGTAGGGACTTTCAGAGCACTAACTGGGCTAAAATGAACTGATGAAGGAAACTTATGTAATTCTCCTATTCCTGAAACAGGCCATTTCTTCTACCAAATAAATGGTGAGTTGTGGAATTGGGACAAGAGACGTTACCAGCCCCAAAGCCATCCTGACTGTGTTGTGACTTATTAACCATGTGCATTTTATGGATCTCAGTCTGCAGCACATGACACAATCCGTGTTTGGGTTTAAGTTGAATGCTATAAAATCTAAATTACCTTTAATAACAAGACTTTCCATGCCACAGTTGTACAGATCAGCTTATCTAGTTTCTCACTGAGATTCCATAGCTATAGATTCTGATATGCCAACTGAAGTTAGTGAGTTTCAAATACATTTTTCACTTAGCACAATGGTGCTCTATAAATGTGATAAGCAAATGAACTCAGCATTATTTTCGTTTCCACCGTGTTTCACACTCGTATCCTTTGTATTAGCGTTTAGTGTTGTAAGAAAGGTATTTGTAAGATATAAATGGGTGGGGGCATGGATTCATTGTGTCTTAAATGTCAGGTTAAAAATATGTTCTTTAACAAATTTTGTTGTGTAAGTTACTAATCTCACATTGGTTATTTGCACTAACGCACAATGCTGTCATGTTGGGTTGCAAACACTATATGAGAGTGTTTAAATACTTAAGAAAACATTTTTTTCTTTTTTTTTCAAACATTATTTCAAAAATGTTAGTGGGATTTGTATTTTCATAAAATCTCAGAAATGTAGGGCTGGAAGGGACCTCGAAGTCATCAAGTACAGTCCCCTGCACTGAGGCAAGATCAAGTAAACCTAGACCATTCCTGACTGGTATTTGTCCAACCCGTTCTTAAAAACCTCCAGTGATGGGGATTCCACAATCTCCCCTTGGAAGCCTATTCCAGAGTTTACCTCCCTTTATAGTTAAAAAGGTTTTTTTCCCCTAATATCTAACCTAAATCTCCCTTGCTGCTGATAAAGCCCATTTACTTCTTGTCCTGCCTTCAGTGGATATGGGGAACAACTGATCAGTCATTCTGAAAACATCCCTTAACATACTGAAGACTTATCAGGTCCCTCCCTCATTCCCCCCCCCCCCCCAAAAAAAAAAAAAACCAACAAAACCAAAACCTAAACGTGCCCAGTTTTTTCACCTTTCCTCATAGATTAGGTTTCTAAACATTTTATCATTTTTGTTGCTCTCCTCTGGACTCTTCACAGTTTATCCATCTCTTTCCTTTACTGGACTGGATGCACTACTCCAGTTGAGGCTTCACCAGTGCCAAGTAAAGTGGGACAATTACATTCCGTGTTCTACATACAGCACTCCTTTTAATGAAAACCAGAACAATATTAGCCTGTTTGGCAACTGCAGCACACTGTTGACTCTCATTCTAACCTAGCCAGTTATTCCCCATTTTGTAGTTGTGCATCTGATTTTTTTTTTCAGTTAGGAAGTGAAGTACTTTGCACTTACCTTTATTGAATTTCATCTTGTTGAATTCAGACCAATTCTCCCATTTGTTGAGGTAGTTTTCTTCTAATCTTGTTCTTCAAAATATTTGCAACCCCTCCCAGCTTGGTGTTATCTGCATATTTCATGAGCATGCTTTCTACTCCATTATCCAAGTCATTAATGAAAATATTGACTAGTACCGGACTCAGGACTGACCCTTGAGGGATCCCACTACATACGCCCTCTGAGTTTGACAGCAAACTATTGATAACTTACTCTTTGAATAAGGTTTTTCAACCAGTTGGGCACCCGCCTTATAGAAAATTCATCTAGACTGCATCTCCCTAGTTCGCTTATAAGAATGTCATGTGGGACTGCATCAAAAGCCTTACTTAAATCAAGGTACATCATGTTTACTGCTTCCCCCATATCCACTATGCCAGTAGTCCTGTTAGAGAAGGAAATTAGGTTGTTTGGTATGATTTGTTCTTGACAAATCTCTGCTGGCTATTCCTATTTTCCTAATAATTCTGTTTTCTTCTAGGTGCTTATAACTTGATTATTTAATCATTTGTTCCAGAATCCTTCCAGGTATCTAAGTTAAGTTGACTGGTATATAATTCCCTGGGTTCTTTTTGTTTTCCTTTTTAAAGACAGGTACATGTTTGCCCTTCTCTAGCCTTCTGAGACCTCGCCCATCTTCCATGAGTTCTCAAAAATAGTGCTAAGAGTTCCAAGATTACTTCAGCTAATTCCCTAAGTAGGTGAGGATGAATTTCATCTGGCTCTGCTGACTTGAGTGTATCCCATGTATCTAAATATTTTTTCCCTATTTGGCTTGCACTCCTTCCCTTTTGTTGCTAATATTGTGTTGAGTATCTGGTCACCATTTCATTTTTTAGTGAAATCTAAAGCAAAATAGGCATTAAACACTTCAGCCTTCTTGGTGTCAGCAGTTATTAGCATTGCTTCCCTGCTAAGTAGAAGACCTGCACTTTCCTTTGTCTTCCTCTTTCTCTTAATTTATTTGAAGATCTTCTTATGATCTTTTATGTCCCTTGGCAATTGTAATTCATTTTATGCCTTAGCCTTTCTGATTTTTTTTCCCCTGTGTGCCTGTGCTATTCTTTTGTACACCTTATTAATTCATCCATGTTTCCACTTTGAGGCTTCCTTTTTTGATTCTCAGCTCATTAAAGAGCTCCTGATGGAGCTATATTGACCTCCTACTATTCTTATTGTTAGCTTTTGTGTCTTTCTCTTTAAGAAACTGCCAGCTCTTACTCCCTTGATTTTCTTCCCATGGGACTTAATCTCAGAACTGGTAGGTAAGCCTGCTTTTTGAAATCCATTGTCCTTATTCTCCTACTTTCACCCATTCCTTTCCATCAAATCATGAAATCTATATCATAATCACTTTCATCAGTTGCTTTCCACTTTCAGATTTGCAACCAAATCCCTGTTAATCAGAATCAAGTCTAAAATGGCTGTCCCTCAGTTACTTCCTTCACCACCTGAAACAAGAAGTTGTCTCCATTGTCTTCCAAGAACTTATTGGACACTTTGTGTTTTGTCATATTATTTTTCCAACAGATGTTGGGGTACCTGAAGTCCCCCATTACCACCAGGTCTTGTGTTTGGGATATTTCTGTTTGTTCTAGAAATGCCTTATCCACCTTCTGATCTGGTACTCTACAGCAGACCCCTCCCATGGCATTGCCCCTGTTTTTTACTCCTTTTGTCTTTACCCAGAGACTTTCACCTGGGCTGCCTTTTACTTCCTTCTGGCCCTTGGCACAAGTATAACACCACCTCCCTATTTATCATGCCTGTCCTTCCTAAACAAGCTATGACACACTTTACCATTTTTTCAATCATAAGACTTATCCCACCAAGTCTCCCTGATGCCAATTAAATAACTGACCTTTTGTACTAAAATGTCCAGTTCTTCCTGCTTTATTCCCTGTTGTACTCCTGGCATTTGTATATAGACATCTAAGATGTTGAGTGGATTCCCCCACCATTTTCCCTCTTGTTGCTCCTATGACCATATTTTAATTTCCATTTCACCCCCAACATTCTAGTCTTCTGTTAAGGTCACCTATTTTTTACACCTACCTTCAGGCTTTTGTCACCTGCCCCCTTTGAACCTAGTTGTAAGCCATTCTCACTAGGCTGGTGACTGTCCAAAGATGCTTTCCCCCTTCTTGGACAGGTAAACCCCCTTTTCTTCCCAGCAGTTCTCCCTCCCAGAACAGTACTCCATGCTTGAGGAAGCCAAAGCCCTCCTGTGACATTCTACACCTTGGAGTGTACTGAAACCCCCATAGTCCTCATTTTCATATAAGCGTGATCTTACATATAAAGCATGCCTTGCAAGGTATCAGGGGAAAGGTTATGATCTGCTGAAAGTCATTTCTCTATCCATATATGCATATCATTAATGCATATGAAGTTATGAGAATTCTATTGTATGGAGGTCACTAAAACATGCTGTAAGTTAGGGAATCAGCCAGATATTAGCTTCCTAGAGGCAACAGCAAGGAAAGTAACCAATGTCCAGGCAGGGATGTCAAAAAACCTATCAACAGCCATTGTCCAGCACGGGAGCTACAATGCAGTGGTGCACCTGCATGAGGCCACACCAGGGGAATTGCTTAGCCTTGCTTGGAGAGACTCAGCAATGCCCCCAGACATGCCTGGACTTGTGTTCCCCAAGCACATGGACTGAGGGTATAAAACAGACAGAGTGAACACATACTGGTTCCTTCTTCTGCCCCCACCTTCGCTGCAAGCAACTAAGACACTGAGAAGAAGACAAGACTCCAACAGAGGAGATTGGCCCAGGTTTAAGGAACAAGCCTGTAGATTAAGGACTGTAATATCCAGTGGCATGAGAAAAACTGCTTAATCTAGATTTTGCCCAGTCTAATAGTGTTGAAAGTTTAGACTGCGTGCTTTTAGTTTATTTTAGTAACCACTCTGACTTTTTGCCTATCACTTAAAATCTGTCTTTGTAGTTAATAAAGCTATTTGTTTGTTTTACCTGAAGCAGTGTATTCAGTTTAAAGCATGTCAGAGACTCCCCTTTGGATAACAAGCCTGGTACATATAAACTTCTTTGTTAAATTGACAAACCCATATAAGCTTGCAGCGTCCAGCAGGCATAACTGGACACTGCAAGACAGAGGTTCCTAGGGTTGTGTCTGGGACCGGAGATATTGGCTAGTGTCATTCAGTTGTACAAGCCAAGGAGCTTACGTGCCAGAGGCTGCACGTGAACAGCCCAGGAGTGGGGGTTCTCACAGCAGAGCAGGGTAAGGCTGGCTTCAAGAATTGGAGTGACCTAGCAGATCACTGGTCCAGATAATACGAGGGGAATGTAACACCTCCCATCAACACCATCTGCGCAGCCACGTATTCATTTGCAGGATGCATATGTGCTTTGCCAGGCCCTTACCCAGGAAGGAGAGTGGTTTACATTTAGAGCACAGTTCCCCAAACTAATAGACCCAACATCTGGCTCAAAATTGTTGTGCAATCCACACACTTTCAAGACCTCCAATCCTAACCAGGCAAATTTTTGTAACTGTAAACATAACAGAATCAGCTAAATACAAAATTTTTTAAAGCAAATTTTAATTAAAGAAAGTGCATTTTTAAACCCCTATTTAATGTGACTGTTTTGGTGATGTAAGATGCTATGCACAAGCTTGAATTGGAGCAATCGTTTTTAGGTAATTATTTCGTTTTTACTTCTGCTAAGACTCATCAAAATAGAAAGGTGTAACAGAAATGTGAACTTTCGAACTTCAGCAACTAAAGCTAAATGGTGCCAATTCAGAGACTGCCAATATCTGAGTTCCTGGATTGTGGAAGTCAGTTGCCGGATTTATGGGTGCTTTCAAGTTGGCTTCTCTGTTTTCTCAAAATCTGAAACAAGGGGAAATTACTAGAAGTCTCCTCTTCATATTCAGAAGACCAATTTCCAAAATACCTATTGAATGCTTCTGCTTTGTTATGCATGGATAGTACATTCATATTCCAGCCCGGAAGAGTGGAGTTCAACATGTCTAGATGTCAGCAAGGTAGGCTAAGCATTCCACTCAAGATGAATTGAAAGAATCAGCAAGTAAAAATTGCTGCTCCTTGGAGAAAACCTGCACTTCTGTGCTCTTTGGGTTTAGTTAGTACTTTACTGTGGGAGATGGACCTCTTAAGTATGAGAGAAGTTACTGGTTAAAGGAACCTATGCCATCATGAAGCAATACAAAACAAGAATTCATTAGATAGCTATGAATTAAGTTGTTTGCAGTATTGTAGCCTTGTTGGTCCCAGGATACGAGGGACAAGGAAGGTAAGATAATACCTTTTATTGGACAAACTGCTGGTGGAAGGTACAAGCTTTCAAGCAGCACTGAACTAGGTTGTATCTTCCACCCAACAGAAGATGGTCCAGTAAAAAACCATTACCTTACTTCTTGTGTCTCATGAATTAAGTTTTCTGTTTTGTCAACTGCTTGCAGGATCTCATGGTGATTTTTCAGGCATTTCCTCAACAATAATAGTACTACTACTGAGGGAATTCTGTGCCAAAAAATTAAATACTCTGCACGCAAAATTTTAAAATTCTGCAAATTTTATTTGTCAAAATAACAATCACTATTTTCAATTATTTTGGTAATTTATTTCAAAATACTTGTTAGCAAATAATTGAAAATGGTGTGATTATATAATTTTGAAAACTGAAATTTGCAGACTTTTATTTTTTTAAATTTTTAGTATAGAATTCCCTCAAGAGTACCAGGGTTCTGTGTGGTGCAATCTGGGTGTGGACAGCTCGGTGAAGGTGTTGGGTCACCCTCAAAGTTAAATAAGTATGATAGAATTATAATTATGTAGTAGTAGAAATAAAGATATACAAAAGAGTATATAGGTATTGTAAAAAGGTATGAACATCAGTTCCATGCTGTTGAATTTCACTCTGTAACAAATGCAAGGCCAAAGTGCTAATTATTTCAGGCCAGTACAGGACTAAGAGTGTGCTGGAAAGTGATAAGAACTTTGAGGAAAAATGCTGTTCTCTAAAACAACACCCTGGTGCTCTTCCCCATGGGGGGGGCCCTTGTCATGCCTATGTAAATCTTGTTACGCAAAGAGGGAAAAATAGATAGTGGGATAAAACTTGTTAAGAGTCATAGGTTGTGTTGTGAAGTAAAAGAATGAATGATGAGGCTGAAGCAGGGAAATAATTGGATAGTAAATGGTGCCAGCCTAATCCTAAGAATTTCAACCTTGATATCGATGGTCCGAAGAATATGCAAAGTGGAGATAACCGGATGACCCTCGGAGGGTGAACCGTAATCCACCTAAAACGAACGCATCAAGGAAGAACAAGAAGATAACACCTAGCCGTCATGGATGTACCACCTGCTGATTGATGGTCATCTTAATTGTAAATTCAGCATGATGAAGCAACTTCCATAGACTTGTACTGAACCAGAGACCTATAAAAACTGGTGTTAGCCGATGGCCAAAGATGTTTGGTGAGGTGCCAGCTATGCCCGTTTTATACCAAGCGTTTGCCCTCGTGGAGGCGGCACAACTCAACGCTAGGCTCTTAGTACTCTCACCTAATGGCCAGGCTTTATAGCCGAAACGGCTGAGGTTAATTGTGTTGGCTGCTTTACAGTAAACCAGAGAAACAAGTCAGGCTTATGCACAAATGGTTACCAAAATTTATTAAACTAGATTCTAATCATGTGGTTACAAAATTGCTAGTGCCTACTTATTTAAATGTAGAGACGTTACACACACAAACAAGTTACAAAACTGAAGCCACAATCCCAAAGAAAGAAAACAAAGTATAGAGCTCTATTTCAAAATATGTGTACACTAAAGATAGGAGATCAGGTGTGGGTGCTTCTTACCCTCCTTGCATCTCTCGATTCCAGCGGTGCCAAGCCAGGATCGGTCACTCAATTCCGCGGAAAGACGAATAAGGGACAAGGCTTAGGGACCCTCTTAGCTGCAGAAGCCTTGGGAGGCTGTCACTTATCTGACCAGCAGATAGATAGTGAAAAGCACTCAAAAATCATGGTGCTGTAGGTCCCGTACTTATACCTCTGTACTCCTTTATTCTCTTTCTCCTTTCTTATGCCAAATTGGGGCTGGTCTGTGTGGGTGATGCCAGCTCTCGCAAGAGTAGTTTACACTTGCAAGGGAGAGAAACAATAAGTTTCGACTACTGGACATTCCTTTATTAGGGTAAATATTTTCCCACCTAGGATGTTGGGCTGTGTGCATCACGCTATTTAGTAGGGGCTAAGAGCCATGTCTGTCACAGCTTCTCTGTTTGCTGTGAGCCTAATCGTTGTATATGTTCCCAGAGGCACATTGTAGCAGCACACCTGTGCTTCTCACAGCTTCAAAGGCTGTGCTGGAATTGACGTTAAGTGCCCTGTTGTTTTGGCTCCCTTGTGTTCCCAGCAATGCTGGTCTGAGGGGGGGCTGGGCTGGCTGCAACTGGGTCCAGGGACTGTGTTCTTTGAGTCTGGTTCTATGACCACTCTCCAGGAGCATCAGATTGCCAGAAACGTGGCAATTTGCCTTGTCCCTCTTACAAAATCCTGTTGGTATCATTTTCATTAGTGTAACAGAGGCAGGGTGGTTTTGATTTAAATCACTAGTCAGGAAGACTCTATTTAATCATGGATTTCTACATAAAAGTGTATTCTTGTTGGTTGTTATAACCTTAATACATATTCTTCACAACTCACAGATAGATGTAGGTTTCATTTTTAGAAGGTACACACAATACATTTTTAACTGATTTATTTTGAAAACTCTTGAGATTAGTTTTACAGCTGTATCAGAAAATGAATGATTGGTTATTTCATTTACCAAAGGTAACTGAAGCAGATATGAAGTCATTGGGAGGTGAACTATCACCAATTCAACAGGTTAATTATTAATATTTGGAGGATTTTCTTGCCATGCTGTATTAGGAGGAGAACATCATCAGACAGACATTTAAATTGTTTTATTTAAAACAATGTTATGTATTCTGGATTTTTTTCTTCAACAGCAAACGTATTTTAACAAAACAAGCATATTAATTTTTGAATTTAATTAAACATTCACGTTTTTTAAAATCAGGTTTGTTTTTGTTAAAATTGTTTTAAACTAAACTAGGTAAATGAAATATTTAAAAAAAATAAAGCAACTACAGCAGCAGATCAACACGAGAAACTTAAAATATTGGCTTCTGTAGCTAACTCAGTCGTCTTCATCTTCATTTTCCTGTTAGTTCATAATCTGGAAAAGGAAAAACAAGCTTTCCTGCTTTTTCAGGTCCCAAACAATTTCTCAATTTGGAATGAATTAGTCCAAAGGAAGAAAATATTCTTCCTACACTGGGAGGAGAAGCTACTGCTGTTAAAAGTGAGATTATCACTTCAACCGTCTCTGAATGCAAGTGCTTAAGTGACTTCCACCAGTTCACTGGGACTTTCTTTAAAACAACATTAGCAAACATATATTTCTTGAATGGTTCTTACTCCCAAAGTGGGTCTCTTTTACAGCCTGCTGCCATTATAGGTTTTCCCTTCTAGTGAGAGAATGGTAGATCTCAAATCAATGAAGGCTGCACTCAGAAAGACCTCAAGACTTCTAGAATATGCTGCTCAAACAGCTTCACTTCTGTTTCTACTGCCTGTCCCTCCCTTCTCACATTTATCTCCAGACTTCTTCTCATTGTCCAGATCTATTCCACCCCCAACAATCTTCTATTCATGGAACTTTTTGAAATTTTGCACTTTTAGAGAGAGGTCAGGGATTGACTCTGTGTACACAAATTTGCAGAGGGACAGTAGGGTTGAGGTCTATTACCTCTCTATATATTTATTTTAAAACGTTTTTGCTGTTATCTCTGCAGTTACAAATCCAGTCTGAGAACTGCAGAACTAAGCATCTCTGATGGTATCTTTTAGACTGAGCACTCAGTTCCAGTGGGTAGATGGAAAGATTAACCTAAATAATCTATA